CACCTGGAGGATTCCCTCATGGGAGGGTTAAACATGTGACACATTATGTCCACCCTGGGTGGAGGCGGGATAAGACCTGGATGGATGCAGCAGGTTTGTCCTGCAGTAGAACATGCAGCCTTTCCTTCATGGCTCGTCTGTTTCATTAAACGATGGCACAATTATTTCCTGAATGTAAACAAATGAGATAAAAATAGCAGGCTATGTGCTCCAACCATTTATTGATTAAAAGCCATCTAATGTACCATCACCCGGCTGTTGCTTAGCAACACCATGCTGATGGCAACGGCTTCCAGATATTGTTACTTAGTCAAGATTTAGCACCAACTCCCACAGAAAGTAAATAGTTGTTTAATGAGTCTCTCTTCATCAGAGCGCTTCCATTCATCTTCACTTCTTCCAGCAGATCGGCTCTTAGTTAGTTTCTCTTTTAATAAAGCGCCTCCGTTTGAAGTCGTAGGGAAGTCAGATTTACATGTCAAATCATTCTGTACCCTTTGAAAAATAAAATTTCAATAAAAATCTATCTAAATCAAACCTGTCTTAAAATCTGTGGAGGTTTTTTTTTTGTTATCTTCTGCAGGCCAATTAGTTATACATCAGCCTGAACACCTAAATTCAGCCAATCATATGTCAACGGTCATCTGTCAATCAAATTTTTTCGGTCATAGCATCTTGATTCATTTGATGCAGCTAATATACACAACGGTTGAAATCAGAATAATTTTCTCTTCCCATTGAGTTCCGTCCCAGTGTTCACAGGGATGAACGTCTGTTTCTTCGGTAGCGCTAACAGAACAACAGCTAACAGCCGCTTCCATACGACATTAAAGAACTAATGTCCCCTTAGGTGTTGCCTCTGTAGAACCAGTGAGAAGTCAGACCAGTCCCTCTCTGTCACACATATCAGCAGGTCTTTATCAAACTCAGAGAATCTGAGTGGATTCATGACCCCATCTATTTAGTTATCCAGACCAACCCGGATATTTGATGACAATTATTATTAGCCAAGTTTTCCTGCTGACTGCCTCCAGGATACGACCTGGACGCATAGAAGAAGACTTAAATAGAACCTCTCTGGTGACAGGAAGTAGTGTGACATGAACTCTTTCTGTGTTCTGTCTTTGCTCAGAACCCGACCCAGGTGGGAACAGCGCTGCAGGTGTTCTACAACCTGGGCAGTCTGACCCCGACCATCGGCTCTGTGGTGGGGGGGTACCGGACCGCCATCAAGGACAACGTCACCAAAGCCCTTGACATCAAGGGTCTGACCCAGCCGGCTAACCCCAGAGGTGAGAGCAAACCAGCAGAACCAGGACCCAAATCCCACCAGGAAAGTCCTGATCCAGGAAGTGTTCTGGGTCGACCCGGTTCACAGGAACCAGAGAATCTCCCATCTGTCACTGTTCTCCTGCTCTAACCTTAGCGGGCCGTCAGGGTTTCCGGCCTCGGTGTTTGAATCAATAGCAGGAAAAGTTCTGGTTCTGGTAGAATAAAGCTAACAGGAGAACATCCTGCTCACCATTGGAAACCGGATCAATGCCTGACCCGGTTCTACTGCGCTGGTCATCAGGTGTTTACAGTGGTTTACAGTATAGGAAGGTTCAAGGTTGTTCATCAGTTGTTTACAGGAAGGTTCCAATAGGTTTCCAGGTAATTATATAGTGTTTCCAGATGTTTTCAGGTTTTTCCAGGTGTTTTCAGTTTTTTTTGGGTGATTCCAGGGGTTTTAAGGTTTTTCCTGTCTTCCTCCCTCCAGGAGCTCCTGGCAGAGCTGTGATGCCCACACCAGGGAACACGGCAGCCTTCCGCGCCGCTCTGTGGACCAACCTGGAGAAATTGATGGACCAGATCTGTGCCGCTTGCAGACAGGTACCCACACCTGGATCATCGTCCACCTGAGCGGTTCTGTCTGCTCCGTTCAGGAGTAATATGTGCCTCACACCCTCCAGGTCCAGCACCTGCAGAAGGTCCTGATGAAGAAGAGAGACCCGGTCAGTCACGTGTGCTTCGTGGAGGAGATCAGCAAGGTGGGTGGGCT